ACCCTCGATAAATACTAATAAAAATATTTGGTCTAGTGGAAAATGTGTTCCAGTCAAACGTCCCACCTACAGAGATTCATTTCAGCAATTATCGCCCCTAACTCTTTATAACAAAGTTCGTTTTCTGATCGCAGTTAACGAGACATGGAATCTAGAGAACCTAACAATAATATCTGGATATCCGCCAAGCGACCAGTGCGTAGATTCGTACAAAATATTACACACAATGTTTTTAGTTACGCTTTCAAAGTATGTTGTGATTTTTCTCGTAACACAATTTTAATTTACTAGTGATCTCACAGTAGTCGTAATTCTACTATAATTAATTGAAATTAGAAAGTTTGAACATTATTATGGTTCTTGTCAAAAGACTATTATACTTCTATGATCACAAATTTCCACCGGTCACCGTCCTCGTTGAAGCCGTCGCTTGCGACGAAGGGCTCGACGAGTGAATGAACCCATAGACACAGCCCACTGAGTTTCTCGTCGGATCTTCTCAGTGGGTCGCGTTTCCGATCCGGTGGTAGATTCTGCGAAGCACTGCTCTTGCTAGGGTAAGTGTTAGCAACACTCCGGTTTGAGCCCCGTGAGCTCACCTACTAGTTAAGGTTACGCTGATATAGCCTCTCAAGGCTATCAGTTTAGGTAGAGAAAAAACAGATTTCATCCAGACTACAATATAGACAAATATAAATATAATAAAGACAAACAATATTAATCTATTCTCAATTTGACTACAGACTATAAGCAATAGCAAAATACCACATATATTAAATGTGTGTTGTGTCAAATACATGGTAATATATGTAATGTTTTTTTAATGTTTTAATGTATTCTTTATGCATAAGTAAAAAAATATTAACATTCTGCACTCTTGCTCTATATTCTCTATAAGTGTGGGAAATTTCATACTCCTCTGTCCGCGTAATTTTCGTAAAAAGGGTACAAAGTTTTTGCTTCAAGATATTTGCTTTTAAGAACTCTTTTACAATTTATTGATTATTCGATCGAAGTCGTCGTGGCCTAAAGGAAAAGACGCCCGGTGCATTCGTATCTAGCGATGGACCGGGTGCAGGCGGGTACCAATTTTNATATTCTCTATAAGTGTGGGAAATTTCATACTCCTCTGTCCGCGTAATTTTCGTAAAAAGGGTACAAAGTTTTTGCTTCAAGATATTTGCTTTTAAGAACTCTTTTACAATTTATTGATTATTCGATCGAAGTCGTCGTGGCCTAAAGGAAAAGACGCCCGGTGCATTCGTATCTAGCGATGGACCGGGTGCAGGCGGGTACCAATTTTGAATGGTGAAGGAATAACATCGTGTAATAAAAATGAAACCCGCAAAATTATAGGTAGGACCTCTTGTGAGTCCGCACGGGTAGGTAGGTACCACCACCCGGCCTATTTCTGCCGTGAAGCAGTAATGCGTTTCTGTTTGAAGAGTAGGGTAGCTGTTATAACTATACTGAGACCTTAGAACTTATATCTCAAGGTGGGTGGCGCATTTACGTTGTAGATATCTATGGGCTCCAGTAGCCACTTAATACTATGGAATGCCGCGGGAAGTCGCTAATAATCCATTACCGTCCTTTATAAATGTCTCGGAATAAGAGACAGAATGAAAAACAAAAGCATTCGGCTTGCAGAAAAAAAACTGATCGCAATATCTGACAGTTTGGAGAACTATTTGTATTTTTAATGAAGTCAGTTCCTGTAACTATACACGTGTTGGCGTTGATCACATGCACGTGTCAGTTTGCGCATTAGAGACGCAAGGTCGGTTGTGTAGGTTTTAAAATTAAATACGGTAATGAGCTAGTTGTGTATGCTAACCTAAAGCTAGCTCACTGAGTTTCTCGGCGAATCTTCTCAGTGGGTCGAGATTCAGCGAAGTTTTGTTATTGCTAAGGCAAATGTTAGCAAATCTCCTAGGTTTAGTCACGTGACCTTCGCCTACAGAAGCTAGCACCCCTCGAGGTTATTAGCAAAAAGTAGGGAAAAAAATTGGATCTGTTATATTATCCATCTATTAATACGCGAAGCAAATGCTTTGTACCACTTTTTAACGAAAATTGCGCGGACGGAGGAGTATGAATTTCCCACACTTAGTCTTATAATATACACACATTTGAATTTGAATTTGAAAAGTATAATAGGACTTTTTTGGCGGGAACGCGAGGAGTGAAGTTGTGTGATTTGTTTTATTTTGTCAATTTAGTGCTTCTTCAGGTTTAAATGTGTAATAACGGTGGTTTATTAACTGTTTAATATCTGTGAAAGTGCACAAATGTGGGAAAATGAAACAAAGCCGCTGGACGTAGCTTATCGGGTNACACATTTGAATTTGAATTTGAAAAGTATAATAGGACTTTTTTGGCGGGAACGCGAGGAGTGAAGTTGTGTGATTTGTTTTATTTTGTCAATTTAGTGCTTCTTCAGGTTTAAATGTGTAATAACGGTGGTTTATTAACTGTTTAATATCTGTGAAAGTGCACAAATGTGGGAAAATGAAACAAAGCCGCTGGACGTAGCTTATCGGGTTCCTCCAAAAAGTCCTCTGAAAAAATCTCAGTAAATGACCATCATTCTACTGAGATTATACTTCATCTCATTTCATTTCATTTCACTCCATATTATAATTTTTCATAAAAATAATAATATAAATTAAAATAAGACATGACTTAAAGGTATTAGATACCAGGTCATAAAATCCCATTAAAAAAAAGAAGTATAATAATAGTGTTGGGCAATAGAAAAATAATAATGCTTAAACATAAAATTTCAATTAAATAAAGTCTACTGCGAGACCACTAGTTTTATTTTAAATTCCCACATTTTGCTTTTAAAGTCGCTTTGATGGAAATCTGTGGTTTTTGGGTCTTTGCGGTATTGAGGTCTTTATCTTCGTCTTTTTTTCATCGTTCCCTTACTGCTGACGATCGCGACCACGTGACTTTCCTCCATAGTATTCGGTCATAATAAATTAAAATAAAACTACATCCTTGATTGACCAGGCAATACGCGCTTCACGATTTCACAGCCCGCATTTATAATTCAGTGCTTATCGATTATAATATGATCGTGAATCGATATGAATAGCGGCGTTTTAATGCTTAGATGGGTGGACGAGCTCAAAGCCCTAGCACCTGGTGTTAAGTCGTTACTGGAGCCCATAGACATCTACGACGTAAATGCGTCACCCACCTTGAGATATAAGTTCTAAGGTCTCAAGTATAGTTACAACGGCTGCCCGACCCTTCAAGCCGAAATGCATTCCTGCTTCACGACAGAAATAGGCAGGGCGGTGGCACCCACCCGTGCGGACTCACAAGACGCCCTACCTACCACCAGTAATTACGCATATTATAATTTTTGTAGTTTTGATGGACAGTAAAAAAAGAGATTGTGAACCGTAAAAATGGCTTAATTGAGAGTTTCCTATACATATTTTTTTCACAATACTGCTCTCACCGTGCATTCCTCGCTTCGCTCAGCTGAGGGTACTTTGTCGCGAGCAGTTTGGCTGAGGCAAGCAATGACACAATGGATTCATGTTAACAATGGACATTCATGCCGCGCTCACATTTCCAGGCCAATTAGGGAACTTTTTTGATGTTTGTCGTGTAGGACTCTCGGATAAATGTAGGTCGATTCATGTCTGTTTGTGTACGAGAAGAGCTCGGGATCAGTGCAGAGCTGCAGAGGACTGTGTCTGTAGTAGTGTAGTATAGGACTAGAGGCTAGATGTAGGTCGGATCTGTGTCTGTTTGTGTACGAGAAGAGCTCGGGATCAGTACAGAGCTGCAGAGGACTGTGTCTGTAGTAGTGTAGTATAGGACTAGAGGCTAGATGTAGGTCGGATCTGTGTCTGTTTGTGTACGAGAAGAGCTCGGGATCAGTACAGAGCTGCAGAGGACTGTGTCTGTAGTAGTGTAGTATAGGACTAGAGGCTAGGTGTAAGTCGGATCTGTGTCTGTTTGTGTACGAGAAGAGCTCGGGATCAGTACAGAACTGCAGAGGACTGTGTCTGTAGTAGAGTAGTATAGGACTAGAGGCTAGATGTAGGTCGGATCTGTGTCTGTTTGTGTACGAGAAGAGCTCGGGATCAGTGCAGAGCTGCAGAGGGCTGTGTCTGTAGTAGTGTAGTATAGGACTAGAGGCTAGATCTAGGTCGGATCTGTGTCTGTTTGTGTACGAGAAGAGCTCGGGATCAGTACAGAGCCGCAGAGGACTGTGTCTGTAGTAGTGTAGTATAGGACTAGAGGCTAGATGTAGGTCGGATCTGTGCGAACGAGATGTTACGTTCAGCGGCTTTATTTCCTTTTTCCGAATTTGTGCACTTTCACATATACTAAACAGTTAATAAACCACCGTTACTACATATTTAAACCTGAAGAAACACTAAATAGACAAAATAAAATAAATCACACAACTTGACTCCTCGCGTTCCCGCCAAAAAGTCCCTTGTTTGCTTTATTAACCCGACATTTGACATGACATTCTTTGAAATGTTGCTACTTCACAACGATCCGTATGTAATAAAGTCTGAATATCTGATTCATACATACCACATGGGGCGTTTAATAATAAAAATTATCCTATTTGACAGTGTAGTACCTATATATCGCACACCTATAGAATTGAAGTAGCTTAACTAAATTTTAAGCATTTTAAGAATATGAGTTTTAAACTTTGCACGACTTATAAACATGTATTCTATATGTTTCTTAAATTAAATTTTTAAAATCCAAAATTTAATTTCATTTTTTATTCTTGAAAAAGATAAAGTTTCCGTCTCTTTTTGATTTAAAAGTATGCGCTTTGTGCTTTAAAGTATTAAAATCGAAACTGAAATATTACAATTCATCAATTATATTTCTATCATTCAAAAAAAATACTAGAATTTTGGATTAAGCCACTTGAATTCCAAAGGTGCGAATTATGGGTAAACTTAATTTAATCTACTTTAAAATAACAAACGATTTCTTTGTTTCAGATGCAAAAAAAATATAACTAAAAAAAAAAGTTTCGAAAACTCGAAATTGTCTATTAAATTGGTAACATTAAAATGTATCAGTGCTGCCCCGAAAAATAGCAGCAGCTGTGACGGATACTAATCCAAAAAAATACTAGGCGATAAATACCAATACGTTGTTCAGTAATGTGTTGAGCGATTGAGAATTCGCAATGGCGACGCCACCCGAATCCCCAGTTGAAGAGCATGCCTACGAATTGGAGCCAAGCAGAACGCCTAAGCCGATACCGGTCGCCTTAGAAGAATTGTGCAGGCAAACTAAATTCTCGAAACAAGAAATTAGAGTTATGTACAGAGGATTTAAAACGGTGAGTTTTCTTTAAATATTACGCTGGACTTTAGCGGCTTTACTGAAACATCTCTTGGACTATTAAACCCTAGTAGCTCAACTTGAATGTGAATACGTACTCAACAAATGTTCACGATTGACTACCACGGTGAAGGAATAACATCGTGTCATAAAAATCATATCCCCAAAATTATAATTTGCGTCATTACTGGTGGTAGGACCTCTTGTGAGTCCGCGCGGGTAGGTTCCACCACCATGCCTATTTCTGCCGTGAAGCAGTAATGCATTTCGGTTTGAAGGGTGGGGCAGCCGTTGTAACTATACTTGAGACCTTAGAACTTATATCTCAAGGTGGGTGGCACATTTAAGTTGTAGATGTCTATAGGCTCCAGTAACCACTTAACACCAGGTGGCCTGTGAGCTCGTCCACCCATCTAAGCAATAAAAAAAAGAAAAAAAAGACCCACCTTGATTCATGGGGTTAAGATTTCAATCGCATAGTAAAAAGACTATCCTATCCTTCAATATGATATGAAATTGTTAATACAATGGAATTCATTATATTTCTTTGTTTACTAGTTATTAGCTACGCTAAATGTTAACACAAGACCTTAGCAGTCTTTTAGAGAAAATACTACGAACATTCAGGCTGTCTAGCCTTGAACCGTTGGCTTTTTTATTCACTGGCACACGAAAAAGGTTTCAAAGAGTCGTTGATATAATATCTGATATTGGAACTGATCGCAGAAAATTACTATCTACCTACATGCGTATTCGGAGAAACTGAATGACAGATGACACAGTAACAGTAATTTTGTCTCAATGTGAAATCAGGACCGATATTAACATCCTGATCCAAACTAAAAGCTACCAGAAGCTACCACTGACCAGCACGCAGGTGCGAAGCCAAATTGCGGTAGAAGCAATTCTAGTAACTAATGAGTATTTAATGTTTATACCGCAATTCTGGGTAGGTGTCTCCGAAGTACCAGCTCTTCACGTTTCTCATTAAAAAAAACAGAAAAATGTTATATATCTGAGATAAAACAGGCACAGACTAGGAATTTGCTATCAAAAGTGCTGTCAGAAGACACACAAGCTAATATCCTAAAACAAATACATATTCCTATTTTGTATCTGAGAAAATAATTAAATGAGGTTGAAGATTGCTTTTATCATGAAATCGCGGATGAAAACTTTTGTTGATTTATTCCTTACCTATTTTCTGATAGCTTAAGAGGCTATTCTAGCTACGCCCCTACGGATAGGTGAGCTCGCGGGCTCGACTTGAGAGAATTTGCCAACACTAGCCCTAGCAAGAGTAGTGCTTCGCAGAATCTGGTTTCGTTTACTGGTGGTAGGACCTCTTGTGAGTCTGCACGGGTAGGTACCATCACCCTGCCTATTTCTGCGGTGAAGCAGTAATGCGTTTCGGTTTGAAGGATGGGGCAGCCGTTGTAACTATACTGAGACCTTAGAACTCATATCTCAAGGTGGGTGGCGCATTTACATTGTAGATGTCTATGGGCTCCAGTAACCACTGGTCACCACTGGTGGGCTGTGAGCTCTTCCACCCATCTAAGAAACAAAAACAATATAAAAAAATCTACTACCGTATCGGAATCGCGACCCATCAAGAAACTCAGTGGGTTGTTTATTTCAATTAATTAATTACAAAGTATTTTAGCCGGACCGCAAAATTGGTATTAGAAATTCAATTTAAACGAAAGAATCTCGACCGCAAATGTGCTACGAACAGAACTGACAAAACCAGCGGGCGCAGTGCACGCTACAAGGGGAGAGAGAGAGATGTTTGGCAACAACCACTCTGTTATAGTGCTTGCTCCAAGTGATAAACTCACACTGAGCTATTTAGTTTAATTGTTAGTAGTTAGTTTAGTTTACGGGGTGCATCCGCTCGCATGCCTGGGCTGGTTTGTAATTCTTTAAAGTGTGAATAACTCCTGGGCATTAACTATTTTAAAATATAGTACAATAGTACAAACATAAACAGAATTTCCCGCTTAGAATCTGATATTATTTTAAATCAAGTAACGTATTGATATTTTTTTTTTTTTTTTTGCTTAGTTGTGTGTACGAGCTCACAGCCCACCTGGTGTTAAGTGGTTACTGGAGCCCATAGACATCTACAACGTAAATGCGCCACCCATCTTGAAATTTAAGTTCTAAGGTCTCAGTATAGTTATAACGGCTGCCCCATTCTTCATACCGAAACGCATTACTGCTTCACGGCAGAAATAGGCAGGGCGTTGGTACCTTTTTTTTTTTTTTTTGGTAGAGCGTTGGTACCTACCCGTACGGACTCACAAGACATCCTACCACCAGTACCACAACAGGTCCTACCACCAGTATTTATCATTTATTTATATTAGTTATTTATTTAGTTGCACCAACAAAGTGATCATCAATACGAAACATTGACATTTGACAATAAGTGCATGACAGCTGTCACCTCAATTATAAGTGTAGTAATAGTCGACAACATCATGAGATTAGAAAACTAAAAATACAATGAGTAATTTAAAAAAATATGAAATCCAGAATAATACTTTATCACTAAGTAATAAAATATTTAAAATCTAGACTTATTAGAAACTAAAACTTGATTACATTTGATTAATTGTTATTAGGTTGTATTTAGTTGGGAAATGATCTGCGCCAGATTTCTGCTGTACGTTGTAAGACAATTAGAAAAAACATCTATTTCATGACTTAAAATTAGTTCAGCGCAATCGGACAACTCCAACTAAGTAATGACGGAGACCGCGCTACCGTGGACAACATTATTGTAGTCGCAAAAGATTCCGTTTAAGGAAGAGTAGGCACCCAAATTCGAGCGAGCGGGCTTTCTTATAAACGGTTTATATTTCTTCGGTCTTGGTAAGTCGAAAAGAGGCCGATATTTTTATCCGGGTTAAGAGATTAGGTGTCGGTTATTCCATGGATTAATTTAGATAAAGGATTCTACATAGAGAAAAATACTCAAAATGTTATTCAAATCAATGAAATAAAAAAAAAAATATTCAGCATAAATGAAAGTATATACTTGACGTCAAAAGAACTACCGCCAATTCACAAAAACTAGTCTCCGTCCTGAAAAGAATTGGCAAGAAACTCAGCGGGCATGTCTTTTTTTTAATATTAGTTTTTTTTTTAATTAGATTTTTTAATAAATATTCATTTTTACAATGAGTATTATAACGTAGCAATTATTGCACTATTGAAATGCCCGAAGCGAGCAACTCATTCCCACTTTGTGCAATCTTCTAGATAATCATTGACTTTATAGTAAGCTTTATTGCACAGATGTTCTTTAATAGTTTTCTTAAACCTATGTATATGTAGGTTCTGAACATCTTGTGGGATTTTGTTGTACAGGCGCACAGACAAACACCCGAATGAATTTCGTATCTTATGTAACCTACTCATCGGCACAACANGTGCAATCTTCTAGATAATCATTGACTTTATAGTAAGCTTTATTGCACAGATGTTCTTTAATAGTTTTCTTAAACCTATGTATATGTAGGTTCTGAACATCTTGTGGGATTTTGTTGTACAGGCGCACAGACAAACACCCGAATGAATTTCGTATCTTATGTAACCTACTCATCGGCACAACAAGCTTGTGTTTGTTCCTAATATTTCTTTTGAAATCAAATATAAGTTTTCTTCGAGGAAATCATAGAAACTCATGAATCAATCTACTTTACGTTACAAGGTGACCTTTGAGACTCCAATTCCTTAATGGTCTCCGATGACTCCGATGATTTCGGTCATATTGCTCGGAAAACACCGGATAGCTTAGAGAGACTATTCGTGACAGGGAAGATCGAGGGAAAGAGACCGCGCGGGCGCAGTGCGACAAGGTGGTTCGACCAAATCCGCACCACACTAGAGATCCTATTCCACGACGCCCTTCATGCGGCCAATGATCGGAGGCACTGGCGGGACATTACAGGGAGTAAAATACCATTGAAATATAATGGTTACGACCCTCAGAAGTGAGGAAACGGCGCGAAGAGGAAGGCCTCCGATAATTCACTCTCAAACGGGTTGAGAGGACGTCTACTCCGTTACGTTCATAAATTTACGAGAGATAAAAGCTTTTAATAAAAAAATTATCGCTTTGGCCTAACCGTTGGACCACACCGGCCAAAGCCCCTGCTACAGCGGAAGCTCCGTAGTGACACTGCTATTTTCCCCGCTGTTATTGTCCGTCGCTATGATTTTACATGAAACTCCACTCTTTTTTATGAATAAAACGGGTTTTAGCATGACCCGTTCTGAACCCGTTCAGATTAAAATGTACAAATTAAAAGTAAACGGTTTTTTTTTCTTATTCAAATAAGCTTTCAAGGTACTTTTGAATTCTAATTGTTTTATTACTGATTCGGAATATAATTTCACGGCTACGAAGAATCGCTAACGAGGCTTGGGAAGAGTACTTAACGGTGGGCAGTAGCTTGGCTCTGCCCCTGGCATCGCTGATGTCCGTGGGCGACAGTAACCACTCACTATCAGGTGGGCCGTTTGCGCGTTTGCCTATACGGACAATTAAATAAAAGAATGTATACATCATAGCAATAACTAATTATGGTCAGTAACTGCAGCAGTAAGGAGTACAAATATCAGTGTTTTAAAAAGTGTCCACTGAAAGTGAACCAATTAAGGCGGCGCCATAGTAGTGAGTGGAAAAATTTAAAAAACAGCGCCATAAAGTAAATTAATACATCTACCCTCCTTATAAAAAGGTATACCATTCGACAGTCATTGTAACATTTAACGTCAACACACAACTTTTCCTGCCCATCTCTATTCTAAAATAAGAATATTCCAATACATCTACGAAACTAGTTATAACAATACCAGCCTGTTATTTCACAGGTACGAAACGATATTTTCAAGCGCGGGCCCTAATTACTCTGAGAGCTCTAGGACTGTCACAGTTGGCAGCTGAGAGCGCGCGAGTATTTTGTCCCTTTCTATTTTAAGAAC